AGGTTCCCTGTCTGGGGGTTCCAAATCTGCTGTTGGTTTCTTTCACCACTGACAAGAGATATACAGGGTGTCCCCCCAAAATGTATACACACTTTGAATACCTACTAATTCCAATGGTTTTAAGCATAAGAAAGAAACAACAATGGGGCTGTTATCTGTTAAAAGTGTGGGCACAAACAGGTAGTTGGACATTCCCTGAGGGGTCTCAGATTGGAGAGGGTGAAGGCCAGACTGAGGGGCCCCTTTCCACGCCCCCCCCACCCCAGTGCACGAATTTCGTGTACCGGGCTACTAGTATATATATAAATATATATATCTCAGCAATGTAACTCCTCAAATTTGGCTCTCATCATCACTTACAGAATATATAATAGGTGAAATATATATGACATAAAATACAACTGTTAAATTTTTTTTAGTCTGTTTTCCTTATTTATTTTCACTGCTCAATTTTTCTAGTGGAATTTGTTCATTTTCTTTCATTATTTTTTAAACTGCTTCACTTTGGAAAGTTTTCATTTCTCAAAGGAGCTAGCCAATCCAATAGTCTATCTGCTATTTTTTTTCTGTGATTTGATATTTTATATTTAATTGTAATCTATCTGGAGGAGAGGGAGAGAAGATATACCTTATACGTATCTAAATAATTTTCTCCCAAAACTGCTTTTTTCCTTATCCAAAACCTCTTTATTTGAGCCCTGTTTTTACAAAACGCAATTTTAAATTTTTTGTTTACTGAGGAGATCACATACAGTTTCCACGGAATCACAAAACTAGAACATGTGGATATCGACCAATCTTTCCTTTCAATTTTACAAATGAGGAGAAAAACAAGGCCTGGTGGAGAGATTTACTCCAGGTCCCAGGGCTGGCTGGCAGCAAACCAGGGACTGGCTTCCTTTCAGTGGGCCGAGGCCCTAGTGCTATGCAACTCCAGGGCACCCTTCCTGTGGTATTCCAGGAAGCTGGCCTCTCCAGGGGGCTGTCCTAACAACCAGGTCAGCACTGCTCCCACAGAACTGCACTCACCCTCTTATGAATTCAATCAGGGCTAAATACACTCAACATCATAGAAAAAACACTCAGAATTCTTCTGGAAATCTTTGGTTTCAATGAGGTTTTGCTCATGACTTTAAGCTGATAATTAAATTCAAACAAGTCTTTCCCAAAGTTAGTGAAAAATTGGCAGACCCTTGCAAACCATATGGCTAAGCTGTAAAGAAGAGGGAAGATGAATACAGCCAAAGGTGCTGCAGAACAGGCTTCCTTACCTTGCCACAGTAAATGTGTCCGTTGGCAGGAGGCGAGCTAGCTGGATGAAGACATGATTGAGGGAAGGACAGAAGCCACACCACTGTGCATAATAAAGCAGCAAAACATCCTGTGGGAAAGGGGAGATGGCTGTGACTGGGATCCTCAGGCCCTCATTCTTAGAACCCTGCAGGCATTCAATAAATGCTGCTTGTGTATATATTACAGTGAAAAATTAATCTTCAGACTTTTTTGATTATGTGCTTTCTTAAGAACTTTTGCAATTAGAAAACCACACGTAATTCATACATCTGTCCTGTTAATCTTCTGTACATCAAAACCAACCACTCACCCCAGCTTTAGAAATAATTTTTTTTTAAAAATCCTTACTCAAGGAGCGAGGATATTTTTTCCATTGATTTTTAGAGACAGTGGAGTGGGGGAGGGGGAGAGGGGGAAGGAGAGAGAGAGAGACATGAGACACATCGATTGGTTGGCTCCTGTTCACACCCTGACAGGGGCTGGGGATTGAGCCTGCAACCAAGGTACATGCCCTTGACTAGGAATTGATCCCAAGAACCTTTGGGTCGACGCTCTAACCATGGAGCAACCGGCCAGGACTAGAAATAATTTTAATAAGGTAGATGGCTTGATTTCTGCCTCTCTCATGCTTCCATGCCTGCTTTTTTTTAAAATACATTTTTTACTGATTTCAGAGAGGAAGGGAGTAGATAGATAGAACCGTCAATGATGAGAGACAATCATTGATAGGCTACCTCCTGCATGCCCCCCACTGGGGATCGAGCCCACAACCTGGGCATGTGCCCTGTCTGGGGATCGAACCGTGACCCCCTGGTTCATAGGTCGATGCTCAAACACTGAGCCACACTAACCAGATCCGTACCTGCTTTTGAAGGACTATTTCCCAGAAGGTATCAGTTGTCACTTCAGTGATTAAATGCTGAGAAGGGAACTGGGCAGAGTCACTTCCAATAAGATGTCTTTTCAAGGGACTGTAGAGAACACTGAAGTTTTGAATAAAAGACTCTAAAAATAAAGAGAAAATGAGATCAACTTTTCTCTAAGTACAAGGAGAGTAGTTGGCCTACTTTAAACTCTACATTTTAAAAATTGGGATGACTTCACAGGCTCACATTTTTAACACTTCAGCTACATGCAAAACCCTGAACATAGCTGCCCAGAGTGGCACCAGGTTTTGTTCTGGTGATATTAACTCAGCAGACAGTAATTTAGATAACAAAACACCATGCATTGTTAGATGCTCTAATATCCTGTTTTTTTCCTAACAAGACACCTGAAATTGCATAAATCATCAACATGACACATCTTTTAAGAGATTTCAATCTACAATACTAAGACCTTTAACTATAACTACACATGCAATAATTGCACCAGTCTACTGCAATGTATTAGTTGTTTAACACTCATTAATTTGAGGACAAGGAGCTATGTTTTTTGTTTCCTTTATTGAAGTTCTTCAAGTTTCTTTCTTAAAAGGTTAAGAAAAATAAACCCAAATATACTTAGCAGAAAAGCACATTAAAAAACACACATAAATAATCCAAAAACCTAACTTGAACCAACAGTTTTACCCTCCCCGAAAAGGCCACTGTATCATCTAAAACAGCACTAATCTGAGTTTCACTTCCTTTTCTTTCATCTAACTCTCTCCATTTTGAGGTCTTAAAGAGCAATGCAATCTTCTGCAAAGGGAGAGGAAGTGAAGAATGTCACATGAATGCTAAAGAGAATTCATTACCAGCGCTGAATAACACTTACTTGGATATGTGTTTGAAACATAAAACCAAGAATTATTTCCTATTCTGTATGAACCCTAAATTCTGAGATTGCCCCAGAAACAGCTGACTTAAAGAGTCAACTCTCCTAACTGACCATGACTCCTAGTATATGTGGGTTATTTTTTTTACAAGGACCCTTATTTTTGACACCAACTACAGGGCAAAGAACAACTGAGCTCAATGTTCCAGAATAGATACAGAAGATGAAAAGGAATCTTAAGGCTTCTTTCAGATTACCCTTAAATTCAAAGTGACTACATTATGAGCTCATTGAGTACTTGGGTATAACTCAGCGGTTCTCAACCTGTGGGTCGCAACCCCTTTGGCGGTTGAACGACCCTTTCATAGGGGTCGCCTAAGACCATCCTGCATATCAGATATTTACATTACGATTCATAACAGTAGCAACATTACAGTTATGAAGTAGCAACGAAAATAATTTTATGGTTGGGTCACAACATGAGGAACTGTATTTAAAGGGCCAGAAGGTTGAGAACCACTGGTATAACTGAACAGAATTCAGGAAAATTCAATAAACACTTACTTAAAAAAATACAGGCTTATTTCATTTTAAGAAAACTCAGTACACCAAAATGTAACTTAAAAAAACATGAATTGGAAGCAATTTGAAAAATTAATAAGAATACACAAAGTGACAGGTCACAGGGTCCTTTAAACACTCAGGTGCCTTCCTGTTTATCCTATATAATGAAACCCTAATATGCAAATCGACCAAACAGTGAAATGACCGGTCGCTATGACACGCACTGACCACCAGGGGGCAGACGCTCAATGCAGGAGCTGCCCCCTGCTGGTTAGTGCCCTCCCACAGGGGGAGTGCCGCTCAGCCAGAGCGCCACTCACAGGCTGGTGAGTGCAGCAGCAGTGACGGGAGCCACTCCTGCCTCCACTGCAGGCGGGTGGTAGAGTGAGGGGTCCCAGACTTCGAGAGGATGCAGGCCAGACTGAGGGACACCCCCCACCCGCTGCCGCCTCCAGTGCATAAATGTCGTGCACTGGGCCTCTAGTAACATATAATTTGATATAGAACAAAGTCATATTGATATAAGCCTTTTCAAATGTGTCTAATGGAAGAAACAAGCTTCACCTGGACTCTAAAAAAGACAGCTGAAAGGACTGTTACTCAGGGCTCTAACTTTATTTTTATAATACTCTCTAAAACTTGAAAACAAAAGGCTTCTTTCCCTACCAAATTCCTCCTCCCTCCATTTGGCAAACATTGACTTTCCCTGGTGTTTCCAATGAGGCTGAACTAACATGGCTTTTGAATTCTCACTTCCTTGTGTGTATATCAAGGATGTCAGCATGGTCCTGGGAACAGGGCAGTGTGGGTTAGATACTGCAGCTGTCAAGCCCCTAGCAGTCCCAGGGGCAAGCTCTCCTATAATGACTGGGTCTTACCTCACAAAAGGTGGTTTGCAACCTGACACTTGTTTATTACAATCTAGGCACCCAAGGTCATAGCAGCATTTCCCAACCCTTATAAAAGAGCAGCAGAAATTAGGCCTTGACACTTATACATTTAAATCTTTGAGACAAACAGGGAGGACAGGCGGTTCTATTGTTCACTGCTTTCTGTTTAAGTTCCTTGAGAATGAAGCTGTTATTAGGATTCACACTCATCAGCCCCATGGGACATTCACACCAAAAGGGCTCTCCATCACAGTGGCCAGGTTTCTACCACTGCAGCTCTCCCTATCTTAGAAATGTGACAGGTACTGCCAATCTGGAATGTTTGACTCTTACCCCCAAGGGCTAAATGACAAACTTACCAAAAATTTTAAGTTAGAAAGTTTCTGTTCCAATTAATAGACAAAATTAGCTTCTTATAAATTATGACCAGTGTAGCCTAAGTATTTCAAATGAGCTAAAGAGTTGACATCACCCCCATGACCAAATGTAATGAGATCCCTAGATAAAAGTTACCTATATCAAGTTATGCAAACTTATTGTGCTTGGGGAAGTAAAGTGCCTACAGTACCTAGGGTGAACTTCATAAGAGCTTGTTTTGGATCCAAGATATAGTGAGATTCTTCTTTCACATCAACAATTGCAGCAAATTCTTTCACCTGAGCGGTGCTAGGAGCACCGAGCCTTTCTGCATATAACCAAAACAAATTTGAATCCAACAGGTAGAGGTTCAGGGTCTTATTGGTTCTGCAGCTCAGGCCTGTGAAGTTTGTGCTATTCATGTCCACTTCAGGAAAGACATGCCTGTTCTCCTCAATGTGAGGAACGGAGCTTGGGGTATCAACCTCACATTCTTTCTCGAGGGAAGAAAATGCAATGTTTGGGGATTTGAAGACATCTGGTTCAGAATCAATGAAGCCTGCCACACCCCTGTTCATAGTCCTGCAACATGCAGTGTAGTAGCTGAAAGGGCTGTAGGAACTCAGAAAATTGCTACACTCCATGCTGTCCGACACCACATGATAAAAAGCCTGCTCCTTGAGGTAGAAAGAATCCAGAGCTGCTGCCATCTCGAGAAAGCTGCACTGTGGCACACTAACCGAGCTCAGCCTAATGCCCACAGCTGTCTGGTTGACACATAGTTCACAGACATTGTGGGTCCTGGAGATGGAGTGCCACTGGGGCAGCACCACAGTGTTGCAGCAGGGGGACGCCGTTATCAGCGGCGGGTCCAGCAGCTGGATTGGGGGCTCAGATGCCAGAGACTTGACCACCGGGGCATCCACTCGCCGCAAGTGCTGAAGGAGCCGCTCCACCACCTGGTCCCCGTGACAGTTGTTGTACTCCAAGGCCACCTCGGTGATCTGCAACACAGGGTGGGCTGCATGAGGCATGGGATGACAGAGGCCTAGAAATCATCCTAATCTGATTCACAAGTAGGAACCCTGGCTGGAAGCACTGTGTCAAATCAAAAGCTGTTACACCGAAATCTATTAAGAAGGAGGCTAGGATTATTTTTCAGAACATGTAATTCTATTAACAAATAGTGAACCAACTGTTTAGAGACGAAAGGGGTCTTAGGGTAGATGTTTTGGCCTATCATATGACAAGAACAAAGCATGGAGGGGTGAAGTGGCTCACCTCAAAATATACATCCAGGTTGTTGATGAAAAACCAGAAAAAGAATTTAAATCTCAATTCCCAGTAAATTTCCTTTACACCTGGAAAACTCTTCCATACGTCTTTCTTCGTCTAAACTAATAGTAAAAAACTTCCCAAATAACTAATGAGTTGAATCAAAGCATTTCACGCCATATATATTTCCAAATAAATTCATGCCTCGCAGGCTGCAAATTCAACGTTTTTCAAAACATACCCATCCATCTTGCCTTCCCCCATAATCTCTTTTTCCTCCTGTACCCACCCTCCTCAGGGAAAGGGCATCATCAAACTGAAAAAATCAGTTAATCCTCACTTTCTCCTCTGCTTCACTGCAGGCCTCAAATCCAGTAAGTTCTGAATTCAGCTTGGGAAAGCAGGTCCCTCATTTGCATCCCCATGGCCACTGCCTCAATTCAGGCCCTCAGCTGTCACAGACCACCATTTTTTTGGCCCCTACTTTAACTGAGCTTCCACACTGTGAATACTTTTTTTGTTTTGTTTTGTTAATCCTCACACCCAAGGATTTTTTCCATTGATTTTGAGAGAGAGTAGAAGGGAGGGGGAGATACAGAGAGAGAGAAAAATCAATGTAAGAGAGACACATCGATTAGTTGCCTCCCACAAGCACCCTGACCAGGGCCGGGGATTGAGCTTGCAACTGAGGTACGTGCACTTGACCAGAGTCGAACCTAGGCCCCTTTAGTCTGAAAGCTGATGCTCTATCCACTGAGCCAAACTGGCTAGGACCCCACTTATTTTGTTTTTAATATTAAAATTTAATAGCAAATATCAATACAAATTCAGAACTTTAGTTACATATATATACATTTTAGAAAGTATATTCCTAAGGCCTGTCTGCAAAAATGGTCTAGAAACAATGACATCTCAGCATCAGTGAGCATTCCTAGAACCCAGATGTTGGTCTCTAAGTACCACACCCCCCCAGAGGGAACAGTGGTCTCTGACAGAAATGACTCCGTATCACAGGCAGGGAGAGAGCACCTTGCATCTGAGAGCTGGGAACCCAAGTCAGGTTTTGTTTGGAGGACAGACAACTGCCCAGGCGGTTCTCCCCCAAGGACGGCTCCCCAGTGAGAAATGCTTCCCGAGGCCCACACCCCTTGGTGTGGTGCTGTCATTGGTCTCCACAGAACCAAGGCTTGCACGGACTCCAGCTGCCTCTGTGGGGACTTAACTGGCACTGGGAGCCGGCAGTGTAGATGCCGACCACCTCTCATGGGTCCTGTCCCCGCCCCTCCCCGCACTGGCCACCACCTGCCTCAAATCCAGCTGTGCTGCTCAGTGAATCTCGGGAGCCTATGATGGATTCGGTTGACCTGAGTTCACAGTGTCTACAATCAATTGGCACTTAGGGATGGGATTATGGGGTTGGTCTGCAGTTGTCTCAGCCTGGACCTGTGTGTGCAGAACAGCTGAGGGTGATGCTAGGCTTGGGAACAGTGCCAGGGTGACTGACTATGACTCAACCAGGCTCTGGCCCCTTCTATAGGGGCTCGGCACAGATGATGTACAGTGGGATGGGCCTGGCGGATGGTCTCGCTTGAAAGAGTGGTCTTTAGGGAGGAAAAAATTAGAGCAAAGACTGGAGCCCTTTCCCGAACTCGGGAGCTGGAGCACCAGGCTGTGTCCGGGGGTGCGTCCAGGGAAAGGACTTTGATCTGGGGACCCCCTGCCCCTCACCCCCACCCAGTGCAGGTAGTCTCTCAAAGGCAGGTCTTCTTCCTGGGAGGGAGGTGGGATGACTGAGGCCCCTGCTACTGCCACTGCAGCTTCTTTATCGCCCTGTAGGCCTGCACAGCCCGCTCTCTCTCCTCCACCATGATCCAGGTCATGGAGGTGGATCATGGAGGTGGATGGAGGCCAGGACACACTGCCAGGGCTCAAAAGCATAACATCAGTGATTTCTTGCCAGGCTGGCCCGTGCTCATGCTCTTCCTGGGTTTGGCGGTCAACTCAGGGGGCTGCAGGGCGACCTCACCAAACTTCACGCTGTCTAGAGGGACAGAGGAGCACGCCTGAGGCCTGCTGCCACCTGAGCCGCTGGGGGGTACCACTTATTTTTAAAAATACTGCCTTAAGCATGAGCCTCCTCTGGAAAATGGCATTCAATGGCTCCTATTACCTGTAGCAAAAAATCTAATACAATCTGGCCTGCGTATGCCTTTCCAGTGTCACCCCACCCTCTTTAGACCATGCCAGGCCCATTCACAATGCCATGCCTTTAGAGGCCTGGTTAGGACCTACTCCATCTGACAAACCTCAATGCCATCCCAAGACCCAGGACAGGGTGGCTGCTTCCGTAAAGCTACCCCCATCCCCACCCCAGAAGAGTTGGGTTCTGCATCTTCAGGGTTCCAGAGCCCTTTCTAAAGTATCTCATAAGTGTCTGCTGAGATGCCCCTCTTCCCAAGCTATGAATCCTCATGGGCACAAACCACATCTGATTTATCCTGCTATCTGCAGAGCCTAGTACAGAGCCAGGCACAAAACAATGCTCAATAAATACCTGTTGAACAAGTGGCACTTACATGCTCCCATTTCCTAGTAAGATTAACTGTTAGCCCTCGGGTATTAGCCATTTAGATTTATATTTCATTCCAAGACTCTTCCATTTCCAAACTAAGTAACTTTCACCACCCATCACTCGCCCCAGTTTCAAAAGAAAGACGAGCAAGTCATATTCCAAAATGTATTTACTCTCTAAAATAGAATCATATGCTAACTTGGATCAAATCTTGCCAGTCAGTTAAAAGAATAAGCCACTCAGGATTATTTTTCATTAAATGTGTGTGAAGGCCATTTAATGAGTGCTTTTCCAATTTCAAAAAACCTCCAAATTTAATAACATATATTTATAGAGAGAGTTAATCCAAGACATATGCATTTGTACAGAAAAATAGTTTGAATAGTTCTTGGGCACAAAAGAAAGGTCATTTTAGATGATATCCAGTGTTTTGTTTCTTCCCCATAACATAACATAAGCCTCTCAGCCCTTTTTGGATAAGACTCTGATCGTATATTATACTAGTAAGGTCAGGCCTCTACAATCCATAAAGAGCCCAGCTGCCCTCTGGCCCCATCTTGGTACTGCTTAATATTCAAAGACACAATAGTACATTACCACTCCTACCCATGCCCGCCCCCCGCCCCCGCCAACTCAAGTATTTATGAAGTCTTTTACAAAAGGTCCAAGTAGGAGTATATTAAGTACAGCAAAATTCCCTTAAAAAGTCTTTTTTCTCTCATCTTTCATTCTTTTTCTCACAAAGCAGCCATATCAAGGATATTTTTAATTGAAGAAACTATTCTGTATAGAGTAACGCTCTTGAAGAATGAGGAATTTTTATTTTTCTCCTGTAAAGTGAGCCAGTTTTTACTTTTATATTCCTTTTTTTTATATTCTTGACCCTAGGATATTTTTCCCATTGATTTTTAGAGACAGTGGGAGGGAGGGAGGGAGGGAGAAAGACGTCGATTGGTTGCCTTCCACTTACGCCCAGACCCAGGCCAAAGATCAAACCTGCAACTCAGGTACATGCCCTTGACTGGGAATCGAATTCGAGACCCTTCGGTGTGGGGGGGCAACACTCTGATCACTGAGCTACACCAACCAGGCCTATATTCCTTTTATATAACAGGCAGTTTTGAAAACTGTAGCTCAAGTTACATCCCATATGTAAATCACTTGATGCCATATTTAATTTCATGTGAACTAATAAGGAAATTTTGGCAAATAAGTTTGTTTGCACTGTAACTGCTTCATTCCATTTCTTTAATCAGAGAAATTGGTAAATCTGAACAACATAACCACCTTTGCTCACCAAACTCACAGACTATGAATGCTTCAAAGCAGGGCTGTGAGAGCCGAAAACAAGTCACAAAGACTCTGCTGGCTGCGGGAAGCATCTCTTGATAAGGACACTGAGATGTCTTATGACCTCTCTAGACTCTAGTGACCCAGGGGTCATGGCCTGATGCTGTATGCAGTACAGGCTGTGCTCTCCTGTGGGGAGAGTGGGTATGTGTGTGGGAGCAGCTGCCTGGTCCTGGACTGGGCCTCACAGTGTGGCCACCACATGGCCATCTTACTGACCCCCATCACGTTGCCCACTACAGCTGCTCCAAACTTCCTTGCTTGGCAAGCCCCCAACCCTACTACCCTCATTCCACGATTACCTCATTCTTCTCACAATGTAAGCTTCCTCAGCTGTCTGCCCAAAATTAGGCCTAAAGGTGGTAATGGAAAAATAAGGATTAGGCTTAAACTATTTTGTATTTGAGGAGCCAATGAGTTTAGAACTCACCCTGTGAAGTGTGTTCATTCCTCCCACCCTTCCTACTTCTGGTCAATGTGTCACTATTTCCCTGGCATTACCCCCTTCCCATCCCACCACCAGCATCCAAGTTCAGGATCTTACTATTCTTCTCTTTTATGGAACACTGCTACCAGGAAAACTTTAATAATAGTAACACACAGCTCTCCTGACATTTCTACACTGTCAGTGAGACTTTGATAGCTATGATGAATGCTAAAGTCCTCCAAGAAGCACCTAAGGGCCCTCTTCCAAAGGTTTTTTTGGGGTCTTCTCCAATCAGCCATTTATGAAAGCCAGGCAACTTGTAGTACTATTTTCTAAAACCTAAAACTGCTGCAACTTCCCCAGCCCTATGCCTTTGCTCAAGCTGTTCCTTCCCATAAATTTCTCTCAATCTATTAAGACCCTGGCCACTAATGAAGGTCAGTCTCAAATACTTGCCCCTCCCACAGCCTCTCCCAACCTCTCCTTTGCCCAGTCCCCAGCTTCCTGGGACACAGCCTTCTATCCTTCAATTCCTGGGGCAGACCTTCCTCTGCCTTGAATTATAAGCAGGCTCTTGCTCCCCTATTGGACAAGCCCCTGAGACCATGAGACCAAGCCTGTATCTTTTCCAACTTTCTCCCCTGTGGCTCCCTGACATGGTGCTCAGTAAACATCTCCTAAATTTTACTTGCTAAGTAATTCCCAATACTGCTAAGATGCCACTTGGTTTTCAGCAACTTTAACCACACAGGTTAAGGTAATCCATTCACCTTGCAAGGACACTATGAACCCTGCGGAAAGGAGCCATAGGCAAAAGTGTAATAAACAGAAGGCCTAGCCATAGACAAACGAGTCAGCGGAGATGGGGAGAGACATTCAGCCAGGAACAAAGGGCTGGAAGGGAAGAGTCCTTACACCAGGTATCTAAATCCAACCACAACCTCCTAAACAGAGAAATAGGCTCTACAAAATACCACCCACCCAGGACCCTGGCATGCCCAAACTAGACAAAATAAAATTCTCCAGAAGGAAAGTTTAAAAGTTAAAGTAAAAACCCACATCTTGCTTGAAAACCCCTCCTTTTCTACAAAGTTTTAAAGCTCTTAATATTAGATGCAGTAAAGGTCTAATAACTCGGAAGAGTGTCTCATGTCATACTAGTAAAATGTGAAGATTTTCTAAAGAAATTAAGTCTTAAGACTTCAAATCCTCCTTAATCAAAGCAGAAACAAAGCTACTTCATTTCTCCTTTTTTCCTCTAAACCAGGATAGCAGCGAACATTCAGAATGTCCCCCTGTAGGGATAATAACTTAAACAAAGTGAAGGGTCTGGCTGGACAAGAATCCTGCCTCCCATTCCCTCTAGGCACACCATTAGGCGCACACGGACAGGCTGGGGACAGGCAGTGTCTGGTTAACCTGGCCAGTGGTAAACTGGCTGTCTGAAATTGGTTTTGACCAAATTAAGGGATCCTTGAGGGAAGAAAAAAATAAAACCCCCAGTAAATCCAATTTAGCAATCCCAGGTGCTCTTTGCTGATTGTTATTGCTCTCTAAGTGGCTCCAAATGATCCATGTATGAAATAAACTCACACCCAAAGTGAGTACACCAGATGAAGCAGAAAGGCAGGAGGGAGGGGCAGACTCTGGCTATCTGCCTAAGAGAAAGGTTTAGAAAAATAAGGGATCCCAATGTCAGCACTACTGCTCCTGGCTCTTGAGCTGAAGATGGCGAGGGCCAGCAGTCTGGCCGGCCCCCATGACAATAGCATCTCCTAGGCCAGTGGTCGCGACCCCTTTGGGGATCGAACGACCCTTTCACAGGGGTCGCCTAAGACCATCGGAAAACACATATATAATTACATATTGTTTTGTGATTAATCACTATGCTTTAATTATGTTCAATTTGTAACAATGAAATTGAGGATCACCACAACATGAGGAACTGTATTAAAGGGTCGCGGCATTAGGAAGGTTGAGAACCACTGTCCTAGGCCATACTAAACCCTGCCTGTGTTGCTGTCCATCCCACTCCCTGACATTAGTCATCAAAGGAAGAGGGACATATGGTCCTTCTCTGGGGAGGCATGGTTTGGTTTCCCTGTCCCCTCCGACTCACCCAGACCTGAGCAGCTGTCAGTAAATGTGGCCAGAGAGGCTTTGGTGGATCCTATCCTAGGCATGGCTCTCCTGCCCCTTTACAGGAGAAAGGAGTAACCGTAGGAACACAACGGCCACTCCTGGCAACCACTCAGCTACTCGTGGAAATTATTCTGAACATGCAATGAAAGAAGTCCCAGGGATGGAGATTTTCCTACTCCTTATGAGATACCTTTTAACATTAGGACTCTTACCTCATCTATTAAAGGATGACTTTCGGCTAAGGGATTAAAAGGAATAAATAAAAAAAGGGCTGGTCCTTTCTTCAGTTCATTATTCAGCAGGAGACTCTTTCCACCATGTGGCCGCAGCCATCGAAGGAGTGTCTCTTGGTTTTCTAAGGCCCACTTGCAGATGTTCTCAGCTGTGTAGTTGATGGCCTCCCTGGGAAAGACCTATGAAGGACAAACACGGGATAAAAGGCAGGGCAGGATCAAAGCACAGCAGCACTGTCCTCAAGAGAACCAATTAACCCTACCACTTCACAGGTGAGGAAAATGAGGCCTAGAGCTGCCACACGACCTGCCCCTGCCCATGCAGTTAAAACCTGGCTCTACTTCTCCAGGCAGAGCATTTCCTCACAAGTGGCTGGAAAAAGCAAAAGCAGTTGCAAGAGGTGACTTTCATATCGTGTGATTTATCTTTTTCCCATTAGACAGATTCATCGATCAATAAATAATTCTCCCTGCCTGCTGCTGGCAACAGGGACCTCTACCACCTTATAAAGGGGAGCTATTAGTGTTATTGGGCTATTTTATAAAAGGATCAGTGAATATCTAAGGGAACAGAAATTATGGAGTCATGGTTCATTTAAATTTTCACCTTGCCTCTCAAAGGCTGGCTCATAAGGGCAGGAATGAACCTTCCATTAGGACACAATCTGTATCTGTTTTGCTCATCTATAGCCCAAGTGGCTAAGAAGAACACTGACACAGAGCTGAAATTCAACAAATATTTGAATGAATCCATAAATGACCTAGAACTTGCATAAGGCCACGAATCACACTTTATGTGTACAGAATGAAGGAAAGAGATGCTTATTTTGCTTTGTTTTCCTACAACAACCCAAGTGTGTCAATATATAATTATTTTTGAAATTCCAATAATATATATCAGTAAGTTTGAAACAAAACTTACACAAAAGTGCTTTGGAGGGTTCCACACAATGAGGTATTTTATACCCTGCCACCCCCAAAACAACAGACTTAAATAGATTCATAACAAAGATGTCCATTGCATTTATTTTTTAAAATACTAGTATTGTGACAATATTTCATTTGATAAAAGGAATTCTGCTGGTAAATCAACCAACCAACTTTAATCTATGGAATGGATGCAGGAAACCCAATATATTTTTCAGTGTCATTCTCATAGTCCTATTTTCTTTTCTCTATCTATTTTAATTTCTTCCTCAGTACTCTTTATTATAAATATGATACATGTTGGTTATATAGCATGTTATGAAAGACAGATGAAGAAAAATGATAGACAGCAAAAGCAGTTGGAGTTAAAAGAAGCTTAGACAGGGGCGCAAGGAGAGTGAGTGGGTGTGTGGAGGAGAGATAATCACAGCAGTGATTCTCAAAGTAGGACGATGAGAGTTTAAAATAACAAACATCGTAATAAACATTTCTATTTAGAAAATACATTTGATTTTTTGGGATATAAATTGCAAGAAGGAAAGCACAACATGTGGTCTACTAGAAATATGCAGAAGCTGGGGTGACTGGCAACCAAGGAGGGGTCCCCTGGAGAGTGCTGCCGACCTGTACCTACAAGGCACAAGATTTGTCTGCTGAGCCAAGGTGGGTACAGAGAGACTACTGGTCTTCACTCGACCTTTAAGTCACTGATACTGTCAATGAAGTTAGAAATAGAAAATATTTAAGAGAAGTAAACTCTCAATATTGGGACCAAGGAAGCAACAATAAATAGAGCAGAAGCACAGGACTAGCAGGATACAGGTCAAAAGTTCAGGAATAGCTGAGTTGAGGCTGGTCCACCAAAAGCAAATGAAATCAGGAAACAAAGACAACAATGGAGGTGAGAAGTCATCAACTTCTCACTGTGACTTGACAAGAACTTCAAAATTCATTATATCAGCTAAGAAGAAAAGCATGCCATATTGCTACTCTTTATCGATAAATGGAACCAATGAACAAAGAACATCACCCAATGGAAGCTTAACCTCTGAGAACATGGGCCCAGAGTAACAATTCCCCAACAGAATAATTCTGTAATTTCATCCAAGAAGGAAAACTAACAAGGCTGTCCCAAAACCTAAGAATATAAACAAAGAATTTCTAGATTTTAAATTCAAGAGCCCTCTAATGCATGGGTTCTTAACCAGGGGCATGGGCCCTAGAGTGAGATTGTAAGAACTCTCAATTTGCATATAAATTCATGTGCACTTTCCTAGGGAGAGTGTCCACAGATTTTATCCAATTCTCAAAGAAGTCTGTGACCTAAATAAGTTTAAGAACCACTGCACTAATAGAAACGTGATTTCAAAATACTTACAAGTGATGTGTTGAAATGTCTATGTAAATACACACTTCCAGAGTGTACTAAGGATACCAGTTTCGCAAGATGTTTATTTGTGATAACCCCAAATCGTACTGTTCCTAGGTAATCTGAAACAGAAAATTTTCCTTTATTAAAGAAAAGGCCTATGCCTTAAAACAACCACAAAACCCAATGATCAACTCTAGACGTACAAATTCCCCAGAGCAAAGCCCTTTTTGGTCACCTAGCCTGACAGGAACGGAAGAGGAGCTAAGAAACCTCCTCCTGACACAGACCTCTCGCCTACTCCTGAGTAACACTCTGACAATCACCTCCACTGCTTCTGTCCATCTGTGCTGATCTGACTTCATTTTATGCTGCCCCTCACTCACCAGCCCCACCTTAGAGCCCAGGCATATGCTGCTCTCTCTCTGTCTGGACACTTCCATGGCTAGCCCCTTCTTCTCATTTAGGTTTCAGTTCCGACTGCACCTTCTTTGAGAAGCCTTCTCTGACCATCCCACCTCAGGGCAAATAATCAGAGGATAAAGTCTGTATGGGAAAACTGGGCTCCTTCCTTACTCAGGCACTCTCTCTACCATTACCCTATTTTTAATAGCACTTACTAACATCTATATAATTTTACTGACTTATTTAGATTTTTTTAAAATCTAACTTCTTAAGTTCTGTGAAATCAGAAACCTGGTTTATTGCTGTTACCCCAGAACCTACAACAGTGTTTGGGCATATTATAAGAGATCAATAAGTGAATGAGTCTAGCACATACAAAATCTCATACAAATTAGTAAGAAAAAAACAGTTAAAAATAAGCAAATCACCCTGGCCGGTTTGGGTCAGTGGATAGAGCGTCGGCCTGCGGACTGAAGGGTCCCAGGTTTGATTCCGGTCAAGGACATGTACCTTGGTTGTGGGCATGTCCCTGGTGGGGGGTGTGCAGGAGGCAGCTGATCGATGTTTCTCTCTCTCATCAATGTTTCTAACTCTCTATCCCTCTCCCTTCCTCTCTGTAAAAAATCAATAAAATATATATTTTTTTAAAATGAGCAAATCACAGAAAAGAAAATGTTAAAGGCTAATAATTACATGAAAATACATTCAACCTCACTATTTCAAAGGAAAGCAAATTAAAATAAAGTAACACCTTTTATCCTCAGATTGTCCAGAACTTGAGATAGGAAATATCAAGTATTGATGATCAATAAAGAAATGAGTACTCTGATAGGATGCTGATAGAAAAGGTAAAATGGCAACCACGAGGGAAAGCAATGACACACGCTGTACTGATCACAATGACACATGGACATAGCCTACAGCCCCGCAATTCCACTTCTTAGTATCCACATATGTGCACTAAGAGTCGGGTGAGGAAAGGCACCAAGAAACACTCTGCAGATGTTAAAAACAATGGGGCAGGGCTACCTATAAAACATGCATAGGTTTAAAGGCATACGTGAGTTGAAAAAGCTGAGGGAGGATAGTTTACCTTTTCTTTAAAAAAAATATCCAAAACAAACAAAAAAAACCCTCACATTTATAAAACAGTATTTTTTTCCTACTGGCACACATGTTCAGAAATGTATAAAAGTATCTCAAAGAATATGAGATGAAGAGCAAAAAGGACTTTATCCTTATGTGTGAAGCTTTCTTTCTTTCCCCAAGGAGTATATGTAAGACTTGTATGATTAGAAATGGACTTAAATATTTAGATGAATAAGATGGTGTAGGAAAAGATACATTTTTTTTCCTACCCACTTTCTGATTTATTAGCAATACAATATTGGTTACATTTTAAAGTTACCAAATTATACCTAAGTAGCTAAAATATAAAGTATTACGGTACTAAACACACGAGGTTTCCGCACAAGCAGTGGTGTCTACCTCCCAGCAGTGATGTCTTTTCTTTCAAAGGAGTGGCTGTCAAGAATGAAGTAGAAATGACTATGTCCCTAATGCCATGCTGGACAATCTTTAATACAAACCTGATGAGTTTAAAATGGCACAAACCCAAAGAAACACAGGAAGAATAAACCAGAAAGTACAGAGATTGGTTCCTTATATGATGGGAGGCAAAGAAGTAAGAATAGAAACTGGAGAACAAGGATGAGGTGGCCTGACCCTCCTCTGAGTAGACCATTTTTGTATCAGACTCTTGTTTCACACCCTTCACGGGCTCAAAAACGAAACAAATCATTAAACCAACCCATATGTGGGGAAACCTAATGTGGAATACAAACACGAGAAATTACACCTAACTTTATCACAAATGTACCAAACTACAATGAAGGGGTGAAGGCTTAGGGATAAAAAACTGAGTAACCAGAAACAGTATCTTAACTGGATACCGAAAAACTAAAGACCGTCAGAGCTAGGACTCTCAGGGCAGAGAGAAAGAAGTTATATACTAGTATTAAGAAGGGACCCCTAAAATGAACCCTGTGGTATCATACTGGAACCAGAGGAAATCAGTATAAACTTATGGCTTTTAACACACACAACTATAGATATATGCATATGCGTGGGTATAAATACATGAAAGGATAGGGACTTATTCAAAGGACATGGGAACTAACCCAAGATGCTCCTAAAGGTCAAAGCTGAAACAATTTGAACAATAAAATAAACAATCACCACTATTTTGCAAAAGTATCAAGGTCATAAAAGATAACGAAAGAAAGGAATTGTCACAGGGTGCAGAAGACTAGGGAGAAAAAATAATTAAATGTGATGTGGGATTCCAGACTGGATTTGGGAACAGAAAACAGACATTAATGAAAACACTGGCAAAATTCAAATAAGGTCTGCAGTTTAGTTAATAATACTGTACTAATGTTAATTTCTTGGTTTTCACAAATGGTTATATAACATGTTAACATTGGGGGAGGCTAGGTGAAGGTAGGGAATTAGGGAACTCTCTATTTAGGCAACTTTTCTGCAAGTATAAAATTAGTTCAAAATTTAAATAAAAATTTAAAAAAGCATGTCATAAAAGTTCAGATCCCAAAGCTGTCAGAAGAAAAAGCAAGACTTAAGATAGGACATGAATTGGCAGAACCAATGGACACCACTCTCCAGGAGGGGATTGAATCTTGGTGGACAGCCAAAGCTAAAAAGAGAAAAGAAGGAAAAAAACAGCCAGTAAGGAAATTCACTTGATAGTTAGTCTGCCAAAGTCACCAACATGATTTATTGGATCAGAAGAATAAGAAGTGACAGCTCAACCCAAAAGTTGAAAGAGGCCATTCAATAATCCATTTAATTAATAAGAATGGAGAGCTTGCCTGCACAGAACGAAACAGATTTTATCATGCCCAAACATACTACAATTTCAAAACTTTATTTTTTTCACATTGAGAAATTTATAAAAATCACACATCTATTTAAGTCTCTGCGTATCGGGGACATCTTGCTGGAAAAGCAGCTTTAAATTGCCATTTCATATGTACAAGGAGTAACTGAATTAGCAGAGGAAGTTCATAGTGTAAGTATGATGCAAGAAAATAACACTTCTCATCTCCATAGCCAGAACATTCTCTGTTAAGCAGAGCTTATGGCTTTTTACAATAGGGGTCTTTTGTTATTTATAAAATTGAATAATTTTGTCCGAAAAGTAATGAAGCTTCAATATTTCAGTTAAGGACTCTGAATTTGTTGATTAAAAATAAATTCAGGTCTGGCAGGGTGGCTTGGTTGGTTAGAGCATCAGTTGGTACACCAAAAAAGGGTTCGGGTTTGATCCCCACTCAGGAGGGGGCGTACAGGAGGCAACCAATGTTTCTCTTCCACATTGACGTTTCTCTCTCTCTCTCTCAAATCAATAAATATATCGTTGGGTGGGGATTAAAATAATTTTTTAAAAAATATATTCAGAAAAATGCTCTCCCATCCTTTCACAAAAAAGGTCCAGCAGTGGCATAACTCTATTCAAGTAGTCAAAAATAATAAAATAAAAATCTCAATAAACTCAGTCAGGTAATTGGCCAGTTTAAAGTCTCTATTAAACATCCAGTGAAAGGTGTCAGAAAGACCACTGCAAAATATAATGGGATCTTAAAAAAACATCTGGGTAAAATTATTAGATTCTGAGCAGTATCTGCAGCTGGTCATTCAGGCAACTAAGTAGGTCAAAGTGACTTCAGCATGAAGACTGGCTTGCCTGCTGCTTGCTGGGAAAGGTGTTGAGTCCTTGGGCCCATGTCCACTTCCCAACTAGCCACCATGTAGGCCTACTGCATCACATCCCAGGGATACCGGGTGGGGATACAGGCAAGAGAACCAACACTACTCATGCTGATTCATTGTGTGCTTTGAGTAACAAATGGCCTCGCTTTATCCATTAAATCTCTACTTTGGTGCTTCCGCAGATTTACCCTTTGCTATCTTTTATGAGGTTGGGGTTCTTCTCTGCCACTAACAGAATACTCCATCCCTCTTCCCACACTCCCCTAGGCAGAGATTCCACTGACCATATTCCTCTGTCACCATTTACCTTGAGTTGAAATTCCATCTGTTTTCCACTCAAATTCACCTGGCTCACTTGTGATCTCTCTGGTTTGCATCAAGGTTTTTGTTTTTGGCTTTCTATATAATACATTATCATCAGACTACTATATTCTGCTTAAAACCACTTGCCTCAAATTCAATTTTTTAATATTAAAACTTCAGTTTAGTATTAGGGTAAAGCACAAACACTCTGAGGGAAGAACTACCTCGGTGAGACAAGATATTAAAATTTTCAAACATTCCAGGAAGAATAAAATTAGTTTCTTCTGTTAGGAAAGACAATATGTTTTTAACTGTGCTTTAAAATTAACAATGAAGGGTCCTGCCAGAGGCAAAGCTACACAACTCACACTCACCAAGTAAAAGACTACCAGACACTCTGAAATGCTAACAACACAAGAAAATGCCTGCAGTAGACTCAGTATCTTATGAAACAATTGCTTTTCCCTGGACACTTGGATAATAAGGCCTGTGCCACAGCTGCACCATCCTATATTGGTAGCCACTAGCTAAATGTGGCTAGTGAGCACTTGAAATATGAGCAACCTGGAAACTAAATTTTTAGCTTTATTTTATTTTTTTTTAACAACAAGGATATGTTTATTGG